CCCCCGCGATGGGGCGGGGTTCGGGGCCAGGGGTCGGGCTGGCCAGTTGTAAGGAGCCATGAACAGAAGTTGGTTCTGGGTCCAAAACCAGCCACCCTAAAGCATGTTAGGGGCCGGGGGCTGGTTCCTCCCATTAGCTACTTGCCCCAGCCCCGGGGTAACTGGTGGAGAAGAGTGAGGGGGGATTTGATAGCAGCCTTCAACTATCTGACGGGGGGTTCCAAAGAGGATGGAGCTCGGCTGTTCTCAGTGGTGGCAGATGACAGAACAAGGAGCAATGGTCTCAAGTTGCAGTGGGGGAGGTCTAGGTTGGATATTAGGAAACACTATTTCACTAGGAGGGTGGTGAAACACTGGAATGTGTTACCTAGGGAGGTGGTGGAGTCTCCTTCCTTGGAGGTTTTTAAGGTCAGGCTTGACAAAGCCCTGGCTGGGATGATTTAGTTGGGGATTGGTCCTGCTTTGAGCAGGGGGTGAGAGTAGATACCTCCTGAGGTCTCTTCCAACCCTGATATTCCATGATTCTATGATCAGTACTTTCTTTCCAGCAGAGGTGGTTTGGGGGTTGGTCAGAGGAGGCAGTTTTCGTTGTGTAAGGTGATGATGCAAATCAGGAAGGGCGAAGAGCTTTTTCAGCCCTGGACTTTGTTAACATGGCACAGGGCTGATGGGCCTCCAAGCCAAACTCCGATACGTGTATAACAGCATGCGGCGCAGCTGTCTATATTCTGCTCAGCTCCCAGTGTAGTCACTCTGGATTTATAGCAGTGTAAAAGCAAGAGGAAAATTGCACCGAGTCTCTGGAATGATTTATCAGTTCTCACTTCTTCAGCCTGCAACCCACTGTAAGAAAACACCACTACAACCGCTTCATGAAATAATGGTGACCCAAGGTCCTCTTTCCAGAGAGCCCAGGGGTACATAAGGGTTGCAAGGATCCCCCGGGTCTGGTATGAATGCAGTAGCCGGCCCATGAATGTCATGTAGGGTCTCCAATGAACGTGTGTGTCACACTGGTTATCATAATCATTGCAAGATGCATGTATGGAAAATATGTTGAGTTCTGTTTTATGCTAAAAACTCTGTTTTTCTAGATCGGTGAGTTAAGGCAAGTCACTGACAGGTGATCCACAAACTCCTGTCAGGCAGGGGGTAATTGATGCTCATCTCATTCGGGCTGGTCGCTGTGATTAATCTCTGAGCAAAAGTATTGCCAAGCTTAAAATGAACAAAGGTATTGTCAGTGTTATGCCTCAAACTTCCGCTTGGCAGAGGCAAAGGGGGCACGCTTGGCAGAAGTAAAGAGGGCACGCTTGGCAGAGGCAAAGAGGGCACGCTTGGCAGAAGTAAAGGGGGCACGCTTGGCAGAAGTAAAGGGGGCACGCTTGGCAGAGGCGAAAGGGGCACGCTTGGCAGAAGTCAGCTAAGACTTGTGATCCAAACGCGCTGCAACCAGATAACACATTCTAACTCCCATAAAAGGAGATAAGCTGTGCCCCGGGGCACAGCTGTCTAACTCACAATTAAAACAATTGGCTACAAGAAAATACCTAAGTATAAATTATACGGTCAAAGCGACACAAGGAAATAAGTAAGCATAAATTATACACCCAAGGCGACAACGCTAACCACAATAAAGATTTGTCTGAGCCTAATTGGTCGATCTGTTTTAAGACATGGCGGACAGATCAGATAAAAAGTATAAAGGCATGGGAATGTGTGTGTGTTTCGGACATAAGGGAAACCTGACCCACACCCGCTGAACCGAAGGGACGTGCACTTTGCGACCGTCTGTACCTGGCCGTGCAGAAAACAGCTGACTGAAGGGTAACGTATTCTCGGGTGAATGCAGGGTAAGGTTATGGAGTGAAGAAGTCTGGTTGCTTGGGCAGAACTGATCTCAAGTTGTATCGATACTATAGTGTTAAAATAGTAGTAAGTAGCTAATTAATAATATTTTTCATGTACTTGTAATTGTACTTGTCTTCAGTATAACTTGCCATTTATATTAATCCTTATTCAGTGCTGGTCTTTAATCTTGCTTTTCTTATTTTGTCTGTGTTGCTTTTATAGTCAAGTCATTTAAAACCTTTTTTGAGGCAATCAGTAGTTTTAATTTTTCTTATATGGGCACTACTCAACCTCATTACATCTGTGTTGGGTGGTGGGAAAGTAGTGATCACCAAGGGCACAATTAGGGTCTTGACGCATGCCTCCCTCTTCCTTTATTTCTGCAGTCATGTGCAAATTAAGTACTGTACAATTCACAATGGACGGCCATTTACCATATGAGCAAAATGCTAGTCATTAGATTGTGGAGGTTGCAGGACAAAA